CTCCTTCTCTGTCTCCCTCCCCTTCTCCCTCTCCTTCTCTTTCCTCCACCATTCCTTCTCTTTTGAAGAAGACAGAAATACTTGAACAAGAATCATCCATCTCTGAGTAGGCCTTTTTTTTTTTTTTTGCAACCCACATTTTTCAAAATGTCTTTTAGGATCATCAGCAGATAAAAAGACACTAAAATGTGGTTTCCAAGCTCAGGCAACTTTGAGACTTGTGGACTTCAACTCCCAGAATCCCACAGACAAAGAAAAAGGGAGTTGAAGTCCACAGGTCTTCCCCAGAATTCCTTGGCTATTCTGGGAGTTGGAAGTCTACAAAGGCTTAAAAGTTGCCAAGCTTGGATACCCCTGAACTAAAGCATGAGGAATTAAGACAAGGGTAGATAGAATAGAAAGAGAGGTAGAATAGAAAGAGAGAGATAGGAGAGAGAGAGAGAGAGAGGGAGGGAGGGAGGGAGGGAGGGAGGGAGAGGGAGAGAGAGGAGAAATCAAGGGTCCTCAAACTTGGTAAGTTTAAGATTTGTGGTCTTCAACTCCCACAATTCCTGAGCTAACATGACTGGAGGAGGAGGAGGAATTCTGGGAGTTGAAGTCCACAAATCTTAAAGCTGTCAAGTCTGAAGACCCCTGAACTAAGACAACACAAGTGTGAATTTCAAGGCATCGCCCTTCTTGAGAAAGAAGAAGAAAAAACAACAACCCCAAACCACGGGCTTGGAAGTTGGCCAAAACTCGTGGTTAGCATTAGATCCTCCCTTCTTGTCTTTTGTTGGCTTTGCAAAGTCTGCCTCCGCGTGATTTCTTTGAAAGAGGCTTGCAAATGGAGAGCTATGGTTGGCTGAAACTCAAAACGCCTCTTTAGGATACCGATGGTTCGTTTTGTTGGGGGGGAACTTGAAACAGCTGCTTTCACTTCTTCCTTCCCAAATTCAAAAACTCAGAACTTGCCCAACAAGAAGTAGAAGCAGGAAAGGCGTACGTCAGCACAAAACTTACAAATTAATTTAGTTTTCATGCAAAGAAATACTTGTCATTGAACATCCAAACCATATTTCTGGATGCTGCTAGTTCTCCGCTTACAACCATTCGTGTAGCAACGGTTAGAAGGGACAATGGCATTGAAAAAAGGGACTTGCAACCTTACAATTGCTCAGGTCATATAATCTGTGGCAATTGGCACGTATTTATGCTGTTTGCAGCATCCTGGGGTCATATGATCACCGCTTTCCAAACATTTCAAGTTGCAAGAAACAAACGAACATGTCACAAGGGCACAGATCCTCCCCTACTCCCTGCAATCCTTGGTCAGATAAAGATTAACAGAGTTGGAAGGGACCTTGGAGGTCATCTAGTCCAACCCCCCACCCAAGCAGGAGACCCTGCACTTTTTCTGACCCATGGCAGTCCAGTCTCTTCTTGAAACCTTCCAGGGATGAAGCTCCCACAACTTCCGAAGGCAACTTCTGTTCCATGGGTTGATTGCTCTCACTGTTAGGAAATTCCCCCTTATTTCCAGATTGAATCTCTCTTTGTTCAGTTTCCATCTGTTATTCCTTGTCTGGCTTTCGAGTGCCTTGGAAAACAGTGTGACCCCTTCCTCCTCTCTGTGGCAGCCCCTCAAGTATTGGAAGGCTGCTCTCCTGTCTCCCCTGGTCCTTCTCTTCCCTAGACTAGCCAGGCCCAGTTCCTGCAACCGTTCATCGTTCATCATGATCTTTTGAGAAACTCACTCTCTGGCCTATAACATTGTTCTCTTTCTTCACCCAGTCCTCTTTTTTTTGACTTTGTGCAAAACCACCTTCCAATGTCTAGCCCAGTCTCTTAAAATCCCAAAGCCGCCCATTTCTTAGGATTTCTTTATCAGCCACAACTCATACCTGCATTCAGCACTCGGTAAGATTCCACCGTTCTGGACACGAAAGCATTCGGGTTAATGCAAAAGTCGCTGGAACCCTAAAAGAGCAAAGGGAACCCCAGGTAACTCACAAAGGTCCCTTTTCAGCCCACGCACCCGGCAAAACCCTCTGGAGTTCCCCGTGGAAAAAGAGCAAACAGGAAGGAGGAATCCATATTCTATTTAATAATTCTATAATTCTATAATTCTATAATTCTATAATTCTATAATTCTATAATTCTATAATTATAATCCTATCCTATCCTATCCTATCCTATCCTATCCTATCCTATCCTATCCTATCCACACTTGTGAGTCTGGGGAGTTGTGAAGAGTAAGGCAAGCTGCAAGAAATGGCAGGCAGAATTTTGGACAGGGTGAAAAACCCGTCCGCTCAGAGGTGGTATTCAGCCGGTTCTGACCGGTTCTAGAGAACTGGTAGCGGGAATTTGGAGTAGTTTGGAGAACCGGCCAATCCCGCCTCTGACTGGCCCCGCCCCATCTCTTCTCCGCCTCCCATTGAGTCCCAGCTGATTGGCTAGGTCTTCTTTGGTTGCCCTGCACAGGAGAACGGAGCTGGAAAGCAGGTTAGCGGGATGGGGAAGGAATGGGGATTTTGCGGTAACCTTCCCATGCCACCCCCATAAAGCCACACCCACCTAGCCACACCATGCCCACTGAGCCACGCCCACAGAACCGGAAGTAAAAAAATTTGAAACCCCACCACTACCCATGGCCCTTTCTCCATCCCCAAATCTGAAACCTGCCCTACAGGTAGTGTCGTGCCCCTGTTGGAATCTTATTCGGAGGGGGAGTCCAAGCAGCTGACAGGAAGTGGGAGTGTGGCTCCATTGGCTGTGGAAGAAACTGGAGAAGGGCAAAGTCTGGCTGGGCAGAGGAGGGGAGAGGTAGAACAAGGGAGAGGGAGTTCAGAGGAAGACCCAGGCCCACCCCCTCTTCGTCCTAGGGCACGCAGGGAGGAATGGAGAAGGAAGCAACGTGAATTGCGTGGCTTACGAGGGAGGAAAGGGCCCTGATTCCCTTCATTAGCTGCAGCTGAGAACACAGTGTTGAAAAAGGAAAGTTGCGCACAGCAAGTTGTTGGGAACAAATTGTAAGTTATCTTTTATGGTCGTGTGCGTTTTGTTGGCCTTTCAAGTCTGCAATTCCTTCTCCTACCCTGTCAAGCTAATTACTGCAGCTTGGCTTGTTTGGATTTTAAGTTACAGTTTGTATGTACTTTATTTTCAGACTGAATTTCCTCCACTTAAAGGCTGTTCCTGGGGGAGTTTTTCTCCAGCCAGAAGGTAACCTGGACACTGAGGGCAAAATTGGAGATAATAAAGGGACTCTTAGTGCTTATTTGACTGTTGCCTTTGTGCCACGCCCTGGGTCAACACATTTTGTCTGGTTACTTGGAGACAAGTCATGCCAGTAAGCTAATTCTTGGCCTCAACATCTACCAGCACAGAGAGAGCTGCTTTTTTCCCTGGTGAAATTAAAATACTCACCACAGCCACCGCCAGTTCAAGCCCCAGGGACCCCCAGCTCACAGTGAGGGCCAGCACCCCGAGAAGACACACACTGCAGAAGAAAAAGAAACAGAGTCAACGGCCAGACACATGTTGGCTCCAGTTCTGATGGCTTAATCTTCCCTGTAGATTGTAATTCAGAGTTCAAACGGATTGGGGGCAAAAAAAAAAAAGAATCACTGACTAAGACAACACTCCTTATCAGCCCCAGAAAGAGAAACTTAACTTATCTGGCAGAAGCTGTGATAATCCCAACCTCCTACTCTGCTCCCCAACCAAACAAGGAATATCTTTTGTGGCCTTCAGATTTTCTGGATCCATGAAGCTCAGATGGCCATCTCCCAGCCTTGGCCAAAGAGGAGGAGGATCTTTCAGCACTTTTGAACCAAACATTTGGAGTCAGGTCAGCTGAAATGATGCGGTAAAGGCTGGGCTGCCAACTAGGGGAAAGAGCTTTTATGAATCCTGCAACTGTCACACACACCATCATTTTGCGGTCTCTCAAGGCACAACCGAAGTCAAATCTCTTTCCAGAGCGAGTGGAAAGAAGATCTCCACTGGTCAAAGCAAAGCCGCTTCACTAAGACGACAATTTGCGTGGCTAGCTATATTAAGAAAACCTCATACTCCTTTTTTTCCCCCCTGGATACTGGAAATCAAACGGAGAATTTCCATGGATTGTTATTATTTTTTGAATGAGGACAATATACAAGGCGCTGCACCTTACCTAAACACACGTCAAAGCTACCTCTTGCTTCCCTGTAGCAGTTCCGCTGCCTAAATGCATTTAGCAATTTGTCCATTTGGTGCCATGGAATGTAATATTTGCTGCAATAAATTTATACTCTGAAATGCTCAATTTACAGCCCTGCATTCATTAAAAGCTCAATTGTAAAGAGAGAGCCAAGTTCAGCTCCTCCTTCCTAGACTTATAAAGCTAGAAACTGACACAACTTGGATGTTCTTGGAATACAACTATGTTATCCTTCAAATCAGGGCTCTCCAAACTTGGCAACTTTAAGACTTGCGGACTTCAACTCCCAGAATTCCCCACGGCTGGCTGGGGAATTCTGGGAATTTAAGTCCAAAAGCCTTAAAAGTTGGCAGGTTTGGAGATTCCCAGCTTCAGCTGATCGGCGTCCAATGACTTATGACCTGCAGTCTACAATCTTGGACATATTAAATAGGTTTATTACCTTAGCCTACAACCCCTCTATCAAAACAAGAACAGGAAGTTTGCAAATATTACATCATTTAAATCTCTGGCAGTGCATGCTAGAAAGTTATCACGGCAGCAAATGATTTTCCTGCATTTCTTCTTAAAGACAAATAAAGACCATCCTCTACAATGGAAGAATAACTGATTTTAAGGACCTTCAAGTTCCTTTTCCTGACTTACCCAATGAGAATGGCCTTGGAGTTTCGGATCAGTCCAAATAGCACCAGCAAACATATCACGACATGGAACATAAGCAGGCCCAGATAACCCAACCACCTATGGCGAAACCAGTACATAGATGGTTAAGACATAAAACTGTATGTAAAAAGGTTGTAGGCAAGGATGGGGAGAAGTCATGGGACCATTGATTTCTGGAGTCAGTACATAATTATCTTTGGCTTTTGAGAAGTCAACGCCGTTACACTGGTCCAAAGATTTGATGTGCTTTCAAACTATCTGTTTTAGCATCATTTTCAAGGCAATGCAGATCTTAATGATTATTTTTTTAATCAATGTTCCCAAACATTTTCCACCCCTAGGGAAAAGAAAACCAACTATCTTGGCCTGTAGGTTACATAAGAAGCCACACTTTTTATGCATCACACTGTCCTGTTGGCATCCTCAGCCAAAGAAACTCCTGGGATGTTTTTTTTTATTACCAGGAATAAAACTTTACTGACAGATCCATAGAAGAAGCAAAGCCAATTCTGAGGTTTTAGTGTGAAGCCCAGTATAATGCAACCCTCTTTTCCTCCTCCCCCCCGGGGGGCCAAACAGTGTCCATTGTCCACCAATCCACGCTAAGCATTTTATTTTGGGAAAACGGTCTGCACCTTTGGAAAGTCTTCAGCTCATGACCTTGGGCTTGTGAGATTTTTAGATTTCTTCTCTCCCTCCCGCTTCCCACACAATCACATCCCTCCCCCTTCCCTTGGTTTCTTTGTCAAGCTGTCAGCGGCAAGAGGTGTTTTGTGTGTCACCTTGACACACACACACATTCACACATAGGTCATACGCTCACACAGGTCGCACATTCAACGGCGCCCTCAGCAAACCACTGTTAAGACCAAAAGCGACTCCATCATTGCAATGACATCCTCATTTGTCCACCATCTTCGTGGACCACCATGCCCAGATGGAGATAAAATAAAAGCACTCCACTCACCTGTACCAGTCGTACAGGTCGATACGAACGGCCAACTCTTCCAATGACACCTGGTGGTTCTTCCAGAAAGGAATCTCTGTGGTTTGTCTTACCAGGTCATCCAAAAGCCCCTGGATCTTCTGAACCACGTGCAGATACTGGGTCTGCTTACTGAATATTACCTCCAGGTCGCCTAGATTGGGCTCCGCCGTTTTGTTTAGGGCAATGGCTGTGTCATAAACCTGGAGGTGCAGATAGATTCAGGTTCAAGTTAGCATTCTTTGAAGGACAAGTTGAAGAAGATGAGCTTCAAGAGAGGATAGCTTCAAGGAAATAACATTCAATAGGCTTACTCAGCTTCTTCAATGGATGGATTTGTGCAACGGATGGAGGAGGAGAGAACCAACCTAGAACTCAGGAGGGATTTCCTAACAGTGAGAACAATTCACCGGTGGGAATGACTTCCCTCCAGAAGTTCTGGATGCACCAACACTGGAGATTTTAAAAAAGGGATTGGACAACCATTTGTCTGAAATGGTCTAGGATCTCCTGCTTCAGCAGAAGGTTGGACTAGAAGACCCTCTTAGTCTGTTCAAACAATGTTCATTTGTTTGCCAAGGTTCATCTACAACGCTAAACTATGATTATGGTTGTATATGGCTGACTTCAGAGTTTCATGAACAGAACCAGCGAAGGTGGTAGAACCAACCCTACTGCGTCACCATGCACTATTCAAACTCAACAACCGTTGGTTTGCTTCTTCATGCTTTGCCAAATACATGATGGGCTGGAAGGACCATGAGAACCTGGACCTCCTCCTGAAGGTGCTCGGATTAGCAATCACAAACAAATATCTTGATGTACATTCTTGGGTCTTCATTTTTGAGGACCGCTCTCCATCCTGGAATGTTATCTACCAAGTGAGGGGTTATTATTGTGTCAGCCCCGGACCGCCAAATGGGCTGGGGCCGTCATTCAGGTGGGGTTGGAGTGCCCAGATAAGAGGCGCGCACATGCACGCTGCTAGCCACGTTGGAATCTGTCTGCCGTGCTGCACGCTCAGCAGTTCCCAGGACCCAGCCCTGACCCAGCTGACTGCCAGGAAACAGCTGATGGTCGGAGAAGCCACGAGCTGTCAGAGAGCTGCTGATTGGAAACGCTGAATGCCGGCTGCCGGAGACACTGGGAAGCTGCGGAACTGGGAAGGGCTGAATGTACCGAACAGAGTGGGGTGGCTGGGCGTGGCCAGGCTGCAGGGGCTGGATTGACAGGCCGCCAGTGGAAGGGCGCGGGGATCACGGGTAGGGCCATACACAATATAAGTGTAAGACATCCAGAAATTATCCATGATATCAATCACTCCAAGACATTTTCTCTCCAATTGATTTATTTAGAAAACAGGTGTGGTATGTCTAAAGCGATTTCCCAAAATGAAATTATTTTCGCGCTGTTACACAGAATCCACCTTCTCTCCTCCCACTTCTACACTTCATAAATCACGAGAACCAATTAACTGCAACTGGAATTTCTTAATACGGCATACAGCATAACCTTGAACTTTTCAACTCCTCCAACCCCCTTCAAATAAAATGTGGCAGCTGAATGTCAAAGCTGACAATAAGTGGGACACCGGAACGTGGCATATTGTTTGTCCAGAAGTAGCAGAACCTACAAAATTAGCATGCTTGGACTCTCTCTTCATGGGGAGGACAACCGAGAGTTAAAGGAGCATGACTGGGAAAAGCCAACTTCCTTCTGCTAGTGGCTGTTGAGAATCAGTTGAAGGGCAAGATCACAACACAAGGACAGACCGACAAGGGAATGAGAGTCTGAGGACAGCCGTTTATCACTTCTGGACCCGTCCCTCGTCCTTGGGGACAGCTCACTCACCCGGTCTTGGACACCGGCCACCGTGCGATTGGCATGCCGCAGGGAATACGTTACTCGATGGATGCCGTCGCTGGTCTCTCCGTTTCCGTAGAAGCCCACTGCGATGCCAGCACTGCAAAGAGACAGAAGACCACAAGGAGATGATCTCTTCCGACCGACGGCCAATTGAATTAACTGGCTTCAGGCTCACGACAGTGCGATTGGCTTAACAACTGGGGTGACCCACTTCACGGGGTGCAAAAATGGGTGTAAAATCAAGTTTCCCTCATGTGAGGATGCAACTTATAAACCTCGGTGCCTTACGACCAACATGCCAGGCTCAATTCTGGCCGTATGTTGAGGACTATGTGTAGGGTGGGCTTCATTTTTTTTTAGCAAGGGGCTCTCTGCCCTAATGACTGTCTGGGTGGGCGTGGCTGGGTGGTCATGTGATCAGGTGGGCATGGCTGGGTGGTTATGTGATTGGGTGGGTGTGGCCAACTCAATGTTGCTTCTTTGCCCTAATTACATACATACATACATACATACATACATACATACATACACACACACACACACACACACACACACACACCAAAAAGTTGTTTATTATTTTGTGCATTTAATACTTAAATAAAAGACTGGGTGAAACCAGGCTTAATAGCAGTGACTGTGAGAGGGATCTTGGAGCCTTAGTGGAGTTTCTGATGAGTTGCATGATTCTTATTCTTATTAATCCCCTCGGAGGCTAGTGGCTCTGTTATCTGGTTTTTCTCAGTGGCTCTCCCTCAAAAGCGCCAAGTGGATTGTTTATCTAGCTTGCCACACTTTTACCAGGTGTGAAATGCTCTTGGCTGAATGCCCAAAAGTTCAATTAAGCCTATTAAGAGCTTTCCCTTGCCGCTTGTCTTTCTGAAGTTATTGGGGGCTCTCCAAGCCCTGCACAGTCTTAGGACAGAAAATCTCTACAGACTTTAGCTACACAATTTGTGATGAACATCCTTAGAATGGTGTGAGAGTAGGAATGGATTTTCAGAGAAAAATCAGACTACAGGAACCATTTGCACTACTCAGGGTGACCCTGAGGACACAGAAAAATCTCCAAGTGGCCTCAATGACCCTCAAAAAGGAAGCAAATGAGCAGCTGTCTGCAAGGAATATAAATCCTTTCCTTCCCCACCTTTCAGTCAAGAACTGAAGAAGCTTCTTAAAGGAGAAGTGAAACGTCTTCGAAGAAAAAAAAAACAGAAAGTCCAGTTTCCTCTTGAAAAAAATAATAATAATAAACCACCTTCAGGACATCCTTGAGACACAACCCAAGAAGAAAAGAGGAGAAAAAGGCTGGCAATAGAGCACTAAATATAGCCTTCTCCAGGCCTGGAAGAGTTAAACAAAAACACACACTTCCTCTCCTTCTGCTTCTTGCTATCCGACTGGAAGAGCTGTGACGAAAATATGGTTCTGATGATTAATTCCTTATATACCCACAAGCTAAAAATATCAGCCTCGGAGATGTTCTGGGTTATATTAAGTCTCCAACTAGCAAGGGGGGGCTTGGGTACCAAAAAGAGGGGTGGGTGTGTGGGCAGGAATGGCCAGGCAGGGAGTTGAGGATTAAGGAATAATAATAATAATAATAATAATAATAATAATAATAATAATAATAATAAGAAGAAGAAGAAGAAGAAGAAGAAGAAGAAGAAGAAGAAGAAAAAGAAGAAAAAGAAGAAAAAGAAGAAAAGAAGAAGAAGAAGAAGAAGAAGAAGAAGAAGAAGAAGAAGAAGAA